CTTGCTTCCATTTCGAGTGAAAGTGTTTGCTGAAGAGATATAAAGGTCTATTTCACCAGAATACGACGGCAGATTCCTCATGGCCAGCTATCAATTGGCTTTACAGAAACATTGATGGTCACGCTGTTTCCAGGGTAATCTCTTTCGATTCCGAAGGAAGTAAGCTCAACAACTAAACATTTACCTAAGTCTAAATAATCTTAGTCTTATATGCAAAGTCGATAACAGATGACACACTTTCAAAAGGCTAAAGACCAAATAAATAGGCGCATTCAAAATGACTAGAGGGCTTTAAAAAAATCAAATAGGATAGGTAGTAGTTACCTTTTAATTATATGAAAACGGTAAATGAAAAGTTAAGACGATATGAAGTACTATATAATGTATATATGCAACGATATTAGTTACATAGATTTGTTACGAACTATCAGCGGAAAAAGCCAATAAGAATAATCAAATCACAATGGTAATAGCATGGGAATACCATGGAGAAACTTAGTTATTGATAACAAATTGAAGACTAAACTATGGCGTGTTGATTGTAGGCCATCAATAATAAAAGATAATAGATAGTACAGATATGAAAACAATGATAATATTATGCAATTATTTGAGACAAGAGAATGCCTTCCCCATTTTACAGTGGGCATTTGACTGAACCTGGATTCTGAACAGAGCAGAAATAAATAAATACCATCGAGTGGTTAAAATAAGGATGATGGAATCTAATTGCGGAATTTCCGGTTCGGATTGATTCCGAATAAGATTTCCCGCACATCGGGCATCATTTGTTCAGCAATCTGACTAAGGCGACTTTCTAGAGTATTGACGACCCGAATTTTTCCGTCCAAGGTCATACACTCGACGCCTCCGGATCTAAAAATAATGCAAGATGGATAAATAAGTAAAATATTCCTTTAAATAAGATAATTAAATATTTCTACATATATTCAATTTGACCTCGTTTTCGAGAGGTGATTACACATGAAAAAGTTGGGGAACGGAGTAGTGATAAAAGGAGGGAAACAAGTAAATCTACCTAATCAGTGATCCGTTCTTTGAGTTCTTATTGTGAAATCAACTAAGTAAAGGAGGAATCAATAAAAAAGCAAAGCTTACTTTTCGTTTATAAGTAGGTTTTATAGACTACCAGTATATAATTTATATTTGAAGTATATTCACCCTATTTCGTTAAAGTGATAAGAGTAATAGAAGTTGAATTGAAGGGTAAGCTATATTCATATCAGTATGAGAAAATTCTACTTCTAATCTTCTTATCACCTTAGACGAAATAGGGGGAGGACACTTAATATATAAGCAAAACTGACGTAACGACCTTCATTTACACGTTAAATAGCCCCAAGTTCAAAATAAGACAATATATATTTTTAAAATGAATTATAGATAGCCCAGCAGGAACAAGTGCAGTTCACTAGGTAAAATAGGGCAGGGAATAAATAAAAACTAAGTCAACGGGGTGAAAATACTCAAGGAATTAATTAGACCCACCAATCAGTATAGCAAGACTACACGTTTCTGATTTCATGAAGCAACAGTAGATCTAATACAAAGGCCTGCTTAATTGACGTGGCATTAATAAAGCCGAAAATGTAATACATATTTTTCAAGTATAATGCAGCTATACTTCACATATATAGAGGCCTCGTATTAAATATACTCCTGACCACCTAGAAACATACTTTAGAGTTGATTGTAAGAGAGCAATCAGGAATATATATATTTAAGCATGACCGTAATAAAGGCTATGGCTCTTGAGATATGAATCTCAAGCATGATAATCAAATAATCCAATCTTTCCTTTAGCATGAATATGGTGAAATGCTCACATGTTTTCAGGCAGATAAGTCGTATCAATCTTTGCCTGAATTCGCTGGCCTGTAGCTTGTTGAGCTACCTCACAAGCTTTGGGTAGAACACACTAAAAGTTATTAATTAAAGAAAAAAATCAGTATGAAACGACCATATATGGAAGTGGTCAATACATAATACAGGATCATCGCGAGAATCAAATGTTTGCTAATTTTATAAGTGATTCGAAAAATGCAATGTCTAGATTTTATGAAAGAATTATAAATACCTATATGTGCTTAATTAAAAAAGCACGACCCAAATGAGCCATGGCAGTCAAAAAAGTCAAAGCATACCTTAACAAGATCTACATCGTTCATCCGGCATCTTACAAGAACTTCAGGTTCGAGAATTTGATAGAAACACTAAAAACAAAAACCATATTAGGCAAGTAGTCTTTGTGGCAGACAAAATCAAGGAAAATATGAAGCCAAAGGTACCTGGGTGATGAGCCCTAAAAGTGTTTTAGAGTATTGTTCTTTGTTAGTAATGAGGTTTCCAAGCCTTTCAGCAGCTTCTTTGAGCAGGATCTGTATGAAAAAATAATTTACGATACAAGTAAATAAAACGTCGTTAAAAATATGTCCACGTGGGGACCTATCCAAACGACTTGATCAAGGAAAAATATCAATAAATTAAAGAATTATTAATTCTGGTAGTGAAATGACCCACTTGGATATGCTGTTCCCG